TCCAAGGAGCAGCTGATGGGTTTTAATGGCTGGCCTTGCAGTTAGCAATCCAGTGCTTATGCTACCAGCTCTACACTAGGACTCTGCAGAACATGTAGAAACCAGTAATAAATAAGTAAAGTTTCCATGGATTCAGCTCCAACTCATGCTGAAAAATTCACTTATTCAACAAATACTTACTAACTGCCCACAGTGGTGGCTGAATTTTCTGAAGTTATTTTCAGGCCCTACTTCCAAGGTGCCTCTGGAGGGACTCAGCCCACCAACCTCTTGACTAGCAACTGAGCATGTTAGCTTTTACACAAAGATGGACACCATGGCTAACTCTTGAACACCAAGCTGCAATGTGAAGACAGAAGACAGACTTGGCAAACAGCGTTAACTGAGTCTCATTCAGTAACAGGACACCGCTGTGCAAACATGGACCAAGCCTTTGTGTAATTGTTCATTTTCGGAATTTAGTGTTCTTGAGTCCCTCTGCTTGATTTCCAGAGCTCTGATGGTCCTGTAGGATAAGCCCTGGACTGCTAACCTCAAGGTAAGTGGTTCAAACCCACCAGCCATTCCTTAGGAGAAAAGTGAGACTGTCTGCTTCCGGAAAGGCCGGCAGTCGCTATCTGTTGGAACCAACTTGATGGCGGTGGATTGGGTTTGGATTTGAGGTCCCACTTCAGATCACCCTTCCCACTAATGGTGAAAACAGGGACAATGGGACGCTACTTAGCTCCACAAGTCTGAGTTCAGTAAGCCGTTTAGGGACGTCCGTTTGCAGTGTGGGGTTGCAGGCCATCTGTTTTATTTTTAGAAATCAATTCTAAACAGAAAAAAAGACTATTTAAGCCCGTGCCAAATAGGTTACCCCATAATGCTTTGTAAGTTCATGTGGATGCCTGAGTGGAGAACTAGTCCACATGTTTGTGGGCCCAGAAGGCCAATTATCTGATAACAATCAGTGCTTACCCACAGCGGAGGGGAAGGAGTTCATTCAGCACTTGAGCAGCTGTAACAAAGCCCCCACCCCCACATGTGTCCTATCCATCACATGGCCCACCAAGCCCCAGGGGAGGACCCACTCAGAGCTGCGAGCGCCGTGTCCCCAAAGTGTTCCATGTGTAACCTCTAGCACCCAGCAATTCCCACTGCAGAATGTGAACGTCTGGGTCCTTACATAACCAGCCCCGAAACCTTGAGTTTCATCGAAAGTGTAATATGAGCAACATCTGTTCTACCAGCATCGTTCTATTAATCGTTCAAAGGGTTCCTCTGCTCACAAAATGAATTAGGTGCTGTTTTGTGCCCAGCCTCACTGAGGTCTCCCATGCTTGGCCTTACACATCCTGACCCAAGCCCCACTGAGAGGCCGCCCCTGAACAGTATCAAGGCCAGGCCTCCTCAAGGTGACCACCAGATCCGTAGGGGCCCACGAGCTCCCTCTGCAGACTTCTGAATCCTTTTTGTGAGCTGTGGAGACTCAGGGCTTCCTGGCAGCCCTGCCTGCTTTGAGACTCCCACACAACACTGAGGATGGACTGAGAGGTGGGGGGTCCTCACTGAGAAACCCCACACACACTTCTAGTCTGCAGGATGGAGTGCGAGAGACACCAATGAAAAGCAGTTTCCTCATTCACATTGGACATCCTTCAGCAGTACTAACTGAAAAGTTGAAAGTTCAAGTCCACCCAGAGGTACCATGGAAGAAAGGCCTGGAGACCTAATTCCAGTTGAAAACACGTGACTTTGCAGCCTGTCAGTCAACAGTCATCCACGACAACTGGTTTGGTTCATCCCAGAAGCCTCAAGGCTCGTCGTATACCAGAACTGTGGCTTGTGACGTTAGCAGCCAAGACTTGAAAGCTTGGTTCTTAGGGTCGCCTCCTGGGGGAGCCTCCCCAAGTCGAGCTGTTTCTGGGGGCTATTTTAGTACAGATACAATTGATCGAAACAAGACAAGTTTATAATACAACAAAGTTCTGACATCTTTATCTTAAATAAAATTAGTTTGGCTTGAGGGGTCTCCATTACAATTATGAAACTTTATGAGGGCACATAGGTTGGCAAGCAGCTAACCCACAACACATGAATTCGTAGCAAACAAGAAAAGGCCCACTTTGTTTTAGATGGAGCATCTTCAGCCCATTCACAGTCCAGAAATGCACACAAGATATTGCCGAGTATCCTAATTGTTACAGAGAAGAGAGAGTTTTTATGTGTATGCAGCCTCCTGATTTCTAAAGGTTGGCAAATCATACTAAGACACATCAAGCCCTGGTGAGTCGATGCTGTATAAGACTCGACAGCAGGATCAAACACACCCTCAGCCTGAGTCTGGCCCAGGGATCCTCTGTCTCTGTGGAAGACAGCTTCTCTTTTAGCTGACCTTTTCGCTTATCAAATGCAGCTCAGCTGGGCTCTAGTCCAGACTCAGGTTCAGGAGATCTGGGATCGATCCTGGACGTTTATGTTTTCTTAAAATATGCACTTCAAAAATCAAAGGAGGGGCATGAAGGAGTGACGTGGTGTGGTGTCCGCCCCCTCAGACTTCACAAAGGCGGAAGGAGGACCAAGAGCCCTAGCAACAGCCCAAGGCTGATGCCTAAGAACAGTGAGCTCAGAACTGCCCCCTCCAGCTTCTCCCCTGGGCTGGATGATTCATTACGACGGCACGCAGAACCAGACTCACAGTTATGGGGCTTGTTAGAAAAGTTGTTGTTGTCATTGTTGTTGTAGTTAACAGCCATCAAGTCAGTTGATTCCAACTCATAGTGACCCTGTGAAGGGTTTCTGAGGAGTAGCTGATGGCTTAAACCTTGTGGTTAGCAGTCCAGGACTTGTCCTACAGTGGCACACCAGGAATTGTTGTGTGTTGTTGAGTTGGTTTTGACTCATAGCGACCCTGTATAGGGTTTCCGAGGAGCGACTGATGAGCTTGAACTGCCAACCTTGCAGACAAGGCATTAGCCACTTACAATTCAGGATCAGAAATGTTCAGGGCATTGTTCTCCCAGTCAGGAGCAACTCTCCTCAGCCTTGCCCACTAGAAGGCCACTCTCTAGTCCTCAGCTTCGCAGCCGCAATGTTGCAAAGCTCTTTTAGCTCTACTGATAAATGTCCAAGGGCAGCCCACTCCACCATAAGCCTCAGCCCGAAGGTGCTCTGGTGCCCAGCCAGCCACATGTGAAGCAGCAGGTGACACTTTAACTCATAGCATCTTGTCAGCATTTCCCACCCTGACACTGTGTTCAGAACATTCTGAAGTCTTCTCCGGATGCCCCACCTGACCCTGAAGTTTGAATGGGCTCTGGAGCCCAGTAAGCTGGAATCAGTGGTGCCCCCACACTGAAAACTGTGGTGATGGAGACGTTCTTGCCCCTCATGAACCCAGATGGCATCAGCTGCCCTTTTCTGTGTCCTGCTTAAGGACATCATAGAAGGACTGTCCCTGTATGGGCTGATGGGACTTTCTCATTCACAACATGGTAACCATAAGAACAAAGACCCCTCAAAGAATATTGAATATGCCAGAAGAAATGAACAAATCTATCTTGGAAGAGGTACAACCAGAAGGCTCCTTAGCAGCTAAGATGGCGAGACTTCATCTCTCGTACTTTGGACATGTTATTAGGAGGGACAAGTCCCTGGAGAGGTATGTCATTCTTGGTAAAGTGGAGGGACAACAAAAAAGAGGGAGACCCCCAACGAGACGGATTGACACAGTGGAAGCAGCAATGGGTTCAAACATAACTATTGCTGGGTCTGTGCAGGACTAAGCAGTGTTTCATTCTGTTATACACAGGGTCACTGCGAATCGGAACCGTCCCCACACCACTTAACAGCAAACAAAGGTGCGAGTTCCCAGCTGCTACAGTTAACACGCTCGGCTGCTCACAGAAAAGGTTGAAGGCTTAAGTCCAACCAGAGGTGCCTTGAAAGAAAGACCTGGTGATCTGCTTCCCAAAAATTAGCTATCAAAAAGTTTCCAACTTTAGATCCAGAGAGGGAGAGCGACTATGTGCTGAAGACCTGGGGGTACAGGGGGCAGGCTTGCAGGGTATACCCTTTGGTTGGTTGATGATGCATGGAGGGGATTGTAACCATGGCAATGAGACGATATACGATAGAATGAATGTA